CAACTGGGCGACATTGGGTCAATCACCAGGAGACGGTGAGTTCTAGTCTCACCTTAGACATGAAAGGACCAATTACATTGTTCAGTGCAGGGGTGGGATGCAAATATTTTTACTACTAGTTCTGTGGGTTGCCTAGGTGGGAGTGGCTAGCTGGGTGTGGCCATGTGACTGTGGCTTTTTTGCAGGACCCTTCCCCCTCCTGCTTCGTTTTTGGGCCTCCTGGGCCTCAGGAAAGCCTCCTGGGTGAAGCAGTAAGACAGCGAGGGGGATCCCGGCACAGCTGATCATCAGAACAGCTGATCGTTGGGAGGAAAAAAAAAGTACTGGTTTGGCTGAACCGGTAGTTGTTTTTTTACTACCGGTTTGGTCAAACGGTAGCATTTTTACTACCGGTTCGCGTGAACCGGCCCGAACCAGCAGAATACCACCACTGATTCAGTGCTAACTGGTACACAACAACAATCTGCCACACAACCACTCACCGTAAACCCATTTGGGCCGCCATCTTTGACATGGTAGATCCCGCTGCCGGCTTGGAATAAAAAGGTGCCACTTTCCCGGTGATAATCGTAGGAGGCGATCCCAAAGGTGCCGATGCGTTTCCTCTCCCGCAGCAGCTCCTCCTCTCGTGAGTACATCCCATAATCCAGGCTGGCCTGATGAGAGAGGACAGGGACAGAAGGAACATGCGGGAAAACTAAAACTGTTTATTACAGATACTGTAGTCCTTGACTTATAACCATCCATTTAGTGACTGTTCCAAGTTACGACAGCACTGACAAAGTGACTTATGACCACTTTTCACACTTATGACCGATGTAGCATCCCCATGGTCACATGATCAAAATTCAGACATTTGGAGACTAACTCATATTTATGACGGTTGCAGAATTCCAGGGTTACAGGATCCCTTTTTTACGGCTTTCTGACAAGCGAAGTCAATGGGGAAAGCCAGATTCACTTAACAACCATGTTACTAACTTAACAACTGCAGGGATTCACTTAATAAACATGGCAAGAAAGGTCATAAAATGGGGCAAAACTCACTTAACAAATGACTCCCTTAATAAGATAAATTTTGGGCTCAGTTGTGATCATAGGTCAAGGACTGCCTGTACTAAACTTCATTTGAACTACTTAAAAAACCCTGCCCTTATTTAAGCAATTAATAGTAAAATAAAAACAACAGCCTATAAGAAAGCGCTTGGCATGTTTAATAAGTGAAGAAAGTAGACAGCAAGAAGAACTGTTAGCACTATCAAGATATGAGTCTATAACAATTCACCATGACTAATTCGCCATAGCCAACTTGTTGCAGAACAACTCGCCACGGCCATCTCGCCACAGGACAACTTGCTGCGGGACAAGAGTTACACTACTATCAAATGGTGGAATAGAATCATTAAGGGATGCAAAAGGAGGAACAGAATAAAATGTGAATGGCAAAAATTAACATATTTTAAATAATTAAATAGAACTGTTACATTGTCCCCAACGAGTTCTCCGGCAGCGAGTTGAACACGAATTGACTGTGACGAGTTGGCTGTGATGAGTTGGCCATGTTGAGTTGTCCATAATGAGTTGGCCCTGATGAGTTGGCCATATTGAATTGGCCATAATGAATTGGCCATGTTGAGTTGTCCATAATGAGTTGGCCCTGGCGAGTTGTCCATGATGAGTTGGCCATGGTGAGTTGGCCATAATGAGTTGGCCATAGTGAGTTGGCTGCAGAGAGTGGCCATGGTGAATTGGCACTGGTGAATTGGCACTGGTGAGTTGGCCGTGGTGAGTTGGCTGTGGTGAACTGGCCATGGTGAGTTGTCCCATTCACCAAGATATCTAGAGAAAGTTTTAGACACTTTCAACTGATTGGTGTAGCTTCAGAGGCATCGAGACGGGAGGAGGGGTTGAAAAAGTCAAGATTGTGGCTGCAACCCTGCGATTGAAGCCCTGGGTTCCATCTTGACTTTTTTGACCCCTCACCTCTGTACCAAGGATTCAGATAGGAATTGCAGCACACCCATAGGATGGGGGGAAAGATGAGGGATGAAAGAGGGAAGAATAACCAAACAACATACCTGAAAGAGGTCTATAAGAGGCTTCCAAGACAGCAAGAGAATGGCAGCCTTGTTTACAGTTTTGGGGATTTCGGAATAAAAAAGGGTGTTTTCCCTGTTTTCACCAGACATGGCTAAAAAGAAAGAAAGAAAGAAAGAAAGAAAGAAAGAAAGAAAGAAAGAAAAGAACTGAATTTTTCTGCTTACTACCGGGGTCCCAAGCTGAAATTGTCACATGGACTTAAAAACCAGCAGGTCCCTTAACCCAGGGCTCTCCAACTTTGGTAACTTTAACTAAAGTTGCCAAGGTTGGAGACCCCTGCCTTAACCAGTTGATTTGTAAATGCATTTATTTGCTAGTAGCTACATCCCATGCAAATCCAGAGACTTATCCAGAACAGCCAAATAAAAATTCCTCATCTCACAAGAGCCATCATAAGAGAAACAGAACAACTCTTAAGATAAAAAAAAGAAGAAGAACCAAACCAGGCGGCCCTCAACATTGTGCATCTGAATTTCCAAGCATCTTTGAAGCGACCCAGCAAAGGGTGGATGTGAGGAGCACAGAGTTGCCTTTGGAACTGCCTAGAGATGCCTTTGGTGAACTGGACAGCATATTTGATAACCAAATAAATAAATTTGTGGGGGTGGGGGGGATTGACCCCCCAATTCCATAAAATGGGCCGGGTCTGAAAAGGCCTGGTTCCGGAGCCTTCATACATGAAACCTCTCTTCCCTCTAAATTCTCTCCTGACTTCCTTTGCAATTATGGTTTGAATTTATTATCTTTAAAAACAAATCGACTGTGGATGATACAAAGCAACAGAATAACTATTAAAATCGTAATGATGAGATTATCGGGGAACCTGATCCACCGACATGTTCCAATTCTCTTTAATTCAACCATGTTTCCTGGTGGAATCCAGGATGTTCTTTCTCACAGCACCAGCCCTCTGAACACCTCACGCATACGAGATTTATGCGGCTCTCTTAAACCCAAACCCTTAACATCTCGCTCTATTCTATTTCAAAAGAATGGTACCTGGGCAGTTTGTCCAGAATGATATAGGGTTTCCTGCTTGAGGAGATGGACTAGAAGACCTCCAAAGTCCCTTCCAAACCTATTATTATTCTATGTTCTGTGCTTGAGCATTGACTGTTTTTTCAAAATGAATGTTGGGTTTTCTTTCCAGATGTTCTGGTTGACCATGTCATTTTTGGATCTCACCTTGTTTACTGTTGTCTTTTTCTTTATTGTTGTGCTACACAACAGGTTGGGCTGGCTCATCCATTCCATGGCAAATGAGTGCATAAATAAATAATAGGAGGCAATCCTTAGGCCTTTACTGCACATAAATAATGTTTGAACAAAATGTAGAAAAGAAAATGTTCTTTCCTCCTTTTTGGTCCTGGCTATTTATCGCCATTTGGTTTGCAGCTCATAGGACCTAGGGGTTGGAAGGGGCTCTCCAGAGGTCTTGTAGTCCAACCCTCTGCTCAAGCAGGAGACCGTATACCATTCCAGACAAACGGTTATCCAAGCTTTTCTTGAACATCTCCAGTGCTGGAGCATCCACAACTTCGGGAGGCAAGCCGTTCCACTGACTAATTGTCAGGAAATTTCTCCTTATTTCTAAGTTGGATCTCTTTTGTTTGGTAAGTTTGCATTTGTTATTTATTGTCCTGTCCTGAGATGCTTTGGAGAATAGCCTGAGCGTCTCTTTTCTTTTGTGCCTAATGTTCAAAAATTTCAGCCACTGGTTCTCTGCCCGGTTGCTGGATGGGCGTGGCCATGGTGGGTGGGGCTTAGTTGGCCTCCTGCACCATGGCAGTGGCGTGGGGGGGAGGCGTTTTTGCCTTCCCCAGGCTCCGGAGGCCGGAAACTTTCAGGAGGCTCGTTTTTTGCCCTCCCAGAGCCTCTTTGCAGGCCCTGCACTTACCTGGCATCTAAAACGGGCCATGTGGAGACACCTGGGAGGGGCGGGGCGGGGTGGGCGGGGCCAGCCGGTTGGTTCAACTACCAGTTCCGCGAACCAGATGTAAAATTAACATCCGGTTCACCCGAAGCAGTCCGAAGTGGCTGAATCCCACCCCTGATTCTGCTCCTTTCGAGGCAGTCAACTCACCCAGATAGTATATCCGGTCTGAATTAGAACATTCCGGATCATTTCTCTTCACAAATGTGAAGTTGTGGGGCGTCTTGGCCATCAGGCAGCTGTGGTATTTCCTAGTATCTGCCAAGAGCTTCTTCAGGTGATCCCACGAATATCTCTCCACGTAATACGGCTCCAGCTTGGCCATCTCCTTGATGGCCGCCACATTTTCCTTGCCCTCGGCCGTCTCAAAGATTTCCAGGGTGGGTTGCTCAGTCTTCATGGCCGATCTCATCGCACATCTTGGACTCTGAAAAGGAAATTCATCAAAACCCTAATCTACTAAACCACCCTACTCAACCCTGTGTCTTCCTTCAAGGACTTTCAACCACCTCCTTCCATTCTGAGTCAGGTTGTGTTCTGACCCAAACCCTTTTCCAATAAGACAAACAATAACCAAAGGGAACAGAAACCTTTTAATGAGTCTTACGAATCCCCGGTTAAAAGGCTGCTGCAAACAAATTAACTCTGAAAAGCACAAATCTCGCCAAAACTGTACAAGATTGCCGAGAATCACAGATAAGAAATATTTCGCAACACAAGAGTCTTCAAATACCAACTTAAGATACTGTAATGTCCACGAGGCTGAGTTTCAAAACTCAGCCTCGTGTTCTTTGCTTCCTGCAAAGAACATTCGCTTCACAGCTGGCTTTAATCTTCTTGAAAGAGGGGCCATTACCTTGCAGCCTTACTCCTGAGTCGCCCATGCTGCTGCAGCTGCTCTTTTCTGCGAGCAGCCCTGTGTGCACGTGCACTTGGCACAGGCTCCTCGGGAACCTCCTCATCGCTGCTGCCAGCCCCCACAATCTCTGAAGGCAGCAGTCCACTCCCTAATGGCCCTGGCCCCTCATCTGAGTCCTCACTCTCCTCAGCTGTCAGCACCTGCTGCCGGTTAACCACAACAGGTTGAGGAAACCTGGAGCATCCCTCAAAAATATGGAGAACATCTTCAGATGATTGGAAAGCTGTTTTATGGTAGGCAAGGCCTACCTGCATTGTAGGTTCCTTTGGTATGTTCCAGAAAGGATGTCCAGTGGTGGACAAGGGATCTTCTGGGAATTGTGACCCCCCCACTGAACATTCTTTCTCTCATTTCTGAATGCTCCAGGCTAATCCTCTGGGGTATTAAGTTCACTTTGTACTATTATTATTATTATTATTATTATTATTATTATTATTATTATTATTA